TATATATATATAGCTTGCACCTGCATACTTAGAACTCTATGGTATCCTTATTCAATTAAAAATACTACACACAGCAAAACCATTTATATTGATAGACGTATTGACAATAAAATATTCACACACCACCTGGACATTAGTGATCGAAAGACATTTCCTGCCAAATGGCAGTAATAATCACAAATAAATATCTCCTTAATGTGCCCTACCGGTCGCCAGGATGTGGCGGACTCTTAATAGCCAATGACACTAGCGCTACCAATGTGTCCCACTTTAAATTACCGATCAAAATCGTTAGTAGCTGAGTATCCGTTCTAGCATCAAGTCGTTTTAAATCAGTTTTATTTAAAAGTGTGTTTTGAGTGTTTAAAAATTATTTGTTTTAATCATGGCTGAATCAATAAGAAACATGGAAACAATTTACCAGAAGAAGAATTTCACATACGTTCCGCCTACGCCGCCGACTGAACTCATTGAATCTACAAATTTCACGATAAATTTTACTGAACGTAAGTTTTTACACGTCGGTCTGAATCCTGCAGAGAAATTCGATGTATCCATACTAATAATTACATCCTCGCGTTTCGTTAAAATATCTGTGGACTTCTTAAGACGTATTTTTTCGTTGATGGGGCAAATTTTATCCTACATTCTGGACACTGCTGTACAAAATAGAAAAAATATTTTTTTGGATACTGAATCTATCTCGGTCACTAGTATGGTGTATAAAGGAGAAACCGTTCTAGTTATTGAATCAAAAACACAAGTTGGATGCAGAATTTTACTTAACCAAACGGACCTTATCACGATTCAACATTTAGAGTGGGCTATTTTTGAAAACTCTACAAGAAAAATAAAAATTATCCGACCCATAGTATTAGATCAACTCGAAACACTGTCTACACATTTTTTCTCTCAATATAATGGTAAAACATTATCTATGGACGATATGGTCACGATTATTGCTAGTAGCCGTGGTGAAGATATCCAGAAAACTGAAAATTGTATACTAAGCGAGTTAAGGCTATTCGCAGCTCAACAGATTGCTACCCGCTGGTATGAAAAGCAAGAAGCTGAAGAATTGAAGGTAAAATAATTTATGGTGCAATTTTAATGAAGACTTAAATGTTTTATTTTTATTCTAGAAATATTCGCAAGTCTTTAACTTGAACATGTTTGACCCATCACCACCAAGATACTCAGCCATGTCCCCAATGCTATCGCACGATGAAGACTTTTCACAAGCATTGGTAATTTATAATTTATAAATTTAAACATTTCTAGTATTGATTATATTATAATTTGATAGGCAGTAGACGAGGATCGTGGTATAGATGAATTTTTAACGCAAATCAACCCTACACAGTCGACATGGGCACCAACCAAGTCATCGGTAATAATCACATTTAATTTTTTATGATAAATATTTATTAACAAAGTTATTATTATTTGTATAGCCTAGCAG